CTCGGCTCGTCTTCTCTCTGCCTCTCCCAGCTCTTTGGTCCGTGGGGTTCTATCACGAATGATCCAATGGCCTGTAGTTGATTCCTTCTCTCTCTCTCTCTCTCTCTCTCTCTCTCTCTCAAGTTTTCAGCTCGTGGGTTCCTGAAGCTGCTCCCTCCCCCCACTAGATGAAGCCCTAGAAGAAGCACTCCTCCTCCTTCCTTTATTTCTCCCCTGCCTCTTCCAGCTCTCACTTACCAAGTTGCCATGTCGTAGTTCCTTCACTGATATAGATCACAGTGGCTACTGACCCATTGCAACCTTCCGAAGAGTGAGTTGCATTGCCTTAAAGTAAACGATCTCTTCCCTCTCCCCCTTGCTACAACACCCACCCATCCACCTCCCCTTGCTACAACACCCACCCATCCACCTCCCCTTGCTACAACACCCACCCATCCACCTCCCCTTGCTAGCAACACCCATCCACCTCCTTGCTACAACACCCACCCATCCACCTCCCCTACAACACCCACCCATCCAACCCCCCCTTGCTACAACACCCACCCATCCACCTCCCCCTGCTACAACACCCACCATCCACCTCCCCTTGCTACAACACCCACCCATCCACCTCCCTGCTGCAACACCCATCCATCCACCCCCCTTGCTACAACACCCACCCATCCACCTCCCCTTGCAAACACCCACCTCCCATCTCCCCCTCTCTCTCTCTCTCTCTCTCACCTGACCTCTCACCTTGTGTGCACCCATATCATAGGCTCCGTCGTAGATGAAGAGATGGTCATTGCAATCCAGCTGAAGCCTCTCGAACCTCAGCATAAACCTCTGGAGGATGGAGTCTGTCTGGAAAGTGACGACGCACTTGACGTTCCTCTCGCCCTCGGACACCACCACGGCGCCCTCGATCATCCGGTTGTGTTGTTTCAAGAAGGTGTCCTGGCAGAGGTCCGGTACAGCATCTGGGTACAGGGGAAAGATAAACAGAGATATAAAAGAGAAGCTGGTTGAAGGATGTGTGTGTGTGTGTGTGTGTGTGTGTGTGTGTGTGTGTGTGTGTGTGTGTGTGTGTGTGTGTGTGGATGATGGGAAGGTATGTGAAAGTGGCAGCTGGGGAAAGTTCAGTAGGGCCAAGGATAGGGTGTCAAGGAATGAGGGCCAAGGAGTAGGTGTCAAGGAATAGGGTCCAACGAAGAAATGTCTCCGCCTTCTGGCTGATTTCTGGGAAGATTCTTCGTTGGGAAGGAAGGGAGAGGGCGGGAGGGAGGGGAGGCAAGATGAATAACGAGGAGGGAGAAGACGATGATGTTGAGGAGAAGAGAGGAGAGGAGGAACGATATATTGCAAGTGTGAGAGTGAAAGGAGAGGGAAGGAGGGGAGGAAGGAAGGGAGAGGAAGGAGGAGAGGGTGAAGGAGGGAAGAGAGTGAGAGGATAAATAACAAGTAGGAAAGAGGAGAAGTAAGGTAAGAGAAAAGATGATGAAGTTGGGAAAGAAGAAGAGTGAGAGGAGAAGAGGAAAATAACAGGGAAAACAAGAGTGAAAAGAGGAAAGGAGAAAGAGAGGAGAGATTGACACAGCAACCACTAAAGAAAGGGAGATTGGAAAGAGGGATCAGGTTTCATCATAGTTGGTACAATTATTATGAAGATATGCTCACACACACACACACACACATCAAAGTGCTTTTGAATCAATGAACAGCCCGTCAGGTTCTATGTACAAAGTTGTATGTGATATAAAAGGAAATGTGATAACTGCCAATGAGAACAACTCTCGTATCGAATTTGTGTGGATTCCGTCCCATGTTGAATCAGGCACGCCATGTGCTGATAGAACTGGCCAATGAGGCATGTAAGAAAGAAAAATGATGACCGTGACCTTGGCCTGTCCAATGCTGTACTTAAAACATTCAAGTCAGAATCATGAACTCTGATCTAGGAGAACTGAGAAATGCAGAGAGACCTGCAGTTGTAGCATTAGTAAATATGACAAATTTTGTGACGAGAGGTACCAGTATGGCCAGCATAAGGACAGAACCAGACATGTGATGTAGTGTCCAGAATTAGCTAGGATACAGACACATCTGGCATGTTAGTAACGCTGTACCCATACCGGAACACTCAGCATGTAAACTTTGTGATAAACCTTTAGAGCATACACTTGAACACTATATTATTGAATGTGACACTCTCAAAGACTCCAGGCCACCTGGCTTATTGTATCATGAACTTTGTAATTACTACTGAATCGTGGGTGCTTGAGGACATTCTTGCTGTTTATCCAAAATTTGCTGCTGGCCCACACTAATTAGTCTTCATTAAAATATGACGTCCAATGTATATGAACCTCGTCCTGCATGGCAGTGAACAGTGACATCACCCACATGACTCTGACCTATATATACTGCTAATGAATATGATGTATTTCTTTGTGTTTGAACCTCTGTCCTACATGGCAGTGAGAAGTGATACCACCCTCAGTGTCAAGACCTGACTGAATTACTCACAATAGGCAAACTGTACTACAAGCTTTGTCAATAAATTTGTTAAACTAAACACACACACACACACACACACATGTAACGAGTGTAACAACTGACATAGACGGAAAAAAACAGAAATAATGACCAATCACAGTTTATGAAATACTCATGACGTCATTACTCACGATAATGACCAATCACAGTTTATGAAATAGTGTCTAATGACGTATTGGTTCACACAACAACCAGCCAAAGACTTCTCGTAACATCCTCACCCCCAGCCGTGACCAATCACAAGTCTCTTTCATGACGTAATAAAACATTACGGTGTCAAATCACACAAAAAATTTTCCCAAGGCATCAATCTATCTCGAAAACCAATCAGGGGAATTCTTATGAGGTCAACCGATCAGAGACCACTACGTCATGACCTGTACCAGCCAATGAGGGAACAGTGATGGGGTTATCAGGGCTCAGGTGGCCAACAGGAGCGCGAGAAATTAAATTACAGTCTTTAAGTGGCAGTCGAGGGAGGCGGCTGTGTCGTATCCTAACTTACTTATATGTGAGAGAGAGAGAGAGAGAGAGAGAGAGAGAGAGAGAGAGAGAGAGAGAGAGAGAGAGAGAGAGAGAGGAATGGGAAAAGTATATTTATAAAAAAATAGTAAAAAATAGAGAAAAAAAATGAATTAAATTAGGTATGAGACTTTGACCTTATCATCAACACTTCTGTAGCAATATTCACGACAGATTTACAAGACTCACACTGAAAATGTTCCAATATTACATCACCATTCAGGGCGCCCCTAGCGTCTGCCAACATGACTTACACAACATAATCTCGGGATTACTCGGAAAAATCCTAAAAATCTTCGGAAAATAGGGGATTTGAGGTCGGTGATTTGTTATATTGAGAAAGAGAGAGAGAAAAAAAAAGAGAGAGAGAGAGAGAGAGAGAGAGAGAGAGAGAGAGAGAGGTGACAAGAGACCAATTGCAGTCGTAACTTTAAACAGAAATATTTACCGACTATTGTAATGTGTGTGTGTACTCTTCTTTCCTCAATTCTGTTTCTCTCATTAACTCTCACTATCTCTCTCACCTGGGTGTGTGGAGGATGACCTGTACCCTATCAACCTCTACCACCCCTCACCCCCCAACTTCTACCGCCCCTCACCCCCAACCTCCACCACCCCCACCCCCAACCTCTCACTCACCCCTCACCCCCAACCTCTACCACCCTCACCCCCAACCCCACTGCCCTCACCCCCAACCTCTACTGCCCTCACCCCCAACCCCACCGCCCTCACCCCAACCCCACCGCCCTCACCCCAACCCCTACTGCCCCTCACCCCAACCTCTACCACCCTCACCTAACCTCTACTAATCCTCAATTTAACCTCTACCACCCTCACCCCAACCCCACTGCCCTCACCCCCAACCTCTACCACCCTCACCCCCAACCTCTACCACCCTCACCCCCAACCTCACCACCTCACCCCAACCTCTACTGCCCTCACCCCCAATCCCCACTGCCCTCACCCCCAACCTCTACTGCCCTCACCCCCAACCCCCACTGCCCTCACCCCCAACCCTACCGCCCTCACCCCCAACCCACCGCCCTCACCCCAACCCCACTGCCCTCACCCCAACCTCTACCACCTCACCCCAACCTCTACTCTGCCCTCACCCCCAACCCTACCGCCCCCACCCCAACCCCACTGCCCTCACCCCAACCCTACCGCCTCACCCAACCCCACCGCCCTCACCCCCCAACCTCTACCACCCTCACCCCTAACCTCACTGCCCTCACCCCCAACCTCTACCAATCTCACCCAACCCTACCACCCTCACCCCCAACCTCTACTGCCCCTCACCCCCAACCTCTACCAATTTTCACCCCCTAACCTCTACCACCCTCACCCCCAACCCTACTGCCCCTCACCCCCAACCTCACTGCCCTCACCCCCAACCCCTACCACCCTCACCCCTAACCTCTACTACTCTCACCCCTAACCTCACCACCCTCACCCCCAACCTCACTGCCCTCACCCCCAACCCTACTGCCCCCTCACCCAACCCTACCACCCCTCACCCCAACCCCACTACCCTCACCCCCAACCCTACCACCTCACCCCAACCTCTACCACCTCACCCCCCTAACCTCACCACCCCTCACCCCCAACCTCTACCACCCCTCACCCCCAACCTCCTACCACCTCACCCCCAACCCTACCATAATCTCACCCCAACCTCTACCACCTCACCCCACTTACCCACCCCTCACCCCCAACCTCTACCACCCTCACCCCCCCACCACGTGAGGTAGTGCCGGTACAATCTCGAGGACAAACTTCTCATAATCCCGTCTCCCCAAGAATCTTCCCAACACTACAACTTTATCAAGGACGATGATTCCTCAAGGCTGTATGTCACCTCACCATACCTCTCTTGACCTCTCTCTCTCTCTCACCAGCACCATACGTCCCTTCCCTTGACCTCTCTCACCAGCACCACCATACGCCTTCCCTTGACCTCTCTCACCGCACCTAGTCCTTCCTGACCTCTCTCACCAGCACCATACGTCCCTTCCCTGACTCTAACCACTCCTTCCTGACCTCTCCAACACCAACCTTCCTTGACCTCACCAGCACCATACGTCCTTCCTTGACCTCTCTACCAACCACCATACGTCCCTTCCCTGACCTCCCCTCTCACCAGCACCATACGTCCTTCCTTGACCTCTCTCTCACCAGACCATACGTCCTTCTGACCTCTCTCTCTCAGCAACACCATACTTCCTTCCCTTGACCTCTCTCTCTCTCTCTCACCAGCACCACTCCTCCCTTGACCTCTCTCTCACCAGCACCACGTCCCTTCCTTGACCTCTCTCTCTCTCTCACCAGCACCATACGTCCCTTCCCCTTGACCTCTCTCACCAGCACAAAGAAGGCAGCAGCGGTAGCGGTAGAGGGTATTGCCTGTCAGCACACAGTGGAGGGGGAAGGGGAGGAGAGAGAGGGGCGGCTCGCTGTTCCCCCACACCTTCACACTGCAGCTTACACTCACGCTCGTCGCCCCCGTCGAAAATGTGACACACTACTGGACATTATGAGAGGGTGAGGAAACTGCCGCCAGATAGTGAGGGGGGGGCGGAGAAGGAGAAGAATAGGGCAGGAAGGATGGAGAGAAGAAAGAGGGAGAGTAGTAGTAGGTAGTAGTAGTAGTAGTAGTAGTAGTAGTAACATATAATTTAGGACTAATAATGTACTGTACTGTGACAGAATATGAAACTTCCAAAAACGGATTTCTCTCAATATAATCCGTTAGATGAAAGTTTCATAACGGACCCTCGATATAACGGACTTTCATTTCTATATAGTCCGTTAAAAAGAGGTTTCACTGTACAAATTTTAGTTTACTTCATCCAATCATCTTTCAGGGAGATTAAAAGTATAATCCCCGTTGGCCAATTTGGGG